AATGCACCCACAACGGGCAATAAACTTGAAAGGTGTAAAGGAAAAGAAAGGATTGTGAATTACTGGCATATTTCGAACATCGACACTTCTAAGGACTTCTTCTCACTGTGACCACCGACATCCTGATTGCATTCCATGTCTTATGACAACCAGTGTGTGTTGCCATACAATTGGTCAGGCTATTGGCGACAAATGCACCGGACTAGACGACGACCAGGGCTTCTGTGCAAATGTGTGGGCTGCATGCAACCCACGACAACAAGAAAAGCAGCAGGTGATAATTACAGCAGCATGGGATCAATGTTGATGTTGCTGCTGCCACTGCTATGTATTGTCTTAAGGCCATTTGACTGTGATAATCAGCGACGACGATAATCTGTTGATACTATTGTTGCAATAAATCGCGTGCTTGACATTGGGTTGCCGCTGCACTAGTGAGCGCCAGATTACTATTGTTCTTTCGTAACCATGATTTAGCGGTCGCAAATTGATCGGTTTGCTTGCTGCACATCCCTGTGATTAGTTCACCTGATTGCTGATAACAAGCCAAACCAAACTAATTGTGGTTATTTATGGTACCCATCAGCAGCAGCAGCACTGTTTATCATTTATTATAAATGCAACCACCAGGGCCGATAGTTAGCTGCAAGTGAAAATATTAGAGTATTGGAGTATAGAAGTGTTCTCACGACCACAATCACCGGCAGACAGTCGCCAGCACTCGACACAAAAACATAGTTATTTTTTCTGCAGCAGAAGTTTGAAAATCAGAAGATGAAGACGTTCATCTGCTGCTGCCTCGCAGCATTGGCCCTCGGGGTCACTGCTCAATCTGGTAAGAAAATAGTTTTCAACTTCAAAATTTTTTTTATTTACTTACAAATTTTTAAATTTGTAGACACTCACACGACAGATACTTTCATTACACCCTCCCAGCCTCATGACACTACTCCTCTTCCTTCACATGTTACTAACCATACTAATGCCTTTACGACCATAGCACCTGAACACCACGATACCACTGTAACACCACACATTAGCACTACTCCTCATCCTCATTCTGATACAACTCATGCTCAAACGCCCAACTCAACTCACGTTCATGAGGGAACCACCCTGAAGCCGGTGGAAACCACCACTCACAAGGTGGAGACCAGCACCTCTCGCTACCATTCCAACTTCCGCAATCCGACCTGCAATTTTACCGCCTGCGTCGAGCCGAAGTGCCAGTGCCTGGATGATAAGCCACCAAAGGGTCTCTTTGCCGAGAACATGTAAGTGTTTTGGAGCAAGTTTTTAAATGTTCAAATGTTAACCGTTTTGACCTCTAGTCCCCAGTTTGTGACGATCACCTTCGACGGCGCGGTGACGGTGACCAACTTTCCCTTCTACAAGGACCTCTTCACGCTGACCAATCCGAACAAGTGCCCGGTGACGGCCACCTACTTTGTGTCACACGTCGACACCAACTACAAGCTGGTGCACGAGCTGCATCGCCGAGGCAACGAGATTGGCGCCCACTCCATCAGGTAGGTTGTCTTGTCTTCTGTACTAGATTTGTGCTGGTGTAAGTGGCTGGAAAGTGGTGAATGGTGATTGGAAAATCAGCCCTCAACACCAACATCAATGGCCATCAGGCACACAAGTGCTCAAAAGCAGGAGAAGTGGAAGTGGAAGGCTCAATCTAATCACAAATTCTTTCGTTTTTAACTTCTCTACCCTTGACCTGATTGCTCGCCTGATTATCACCACCATCAAATTGGCAAACGCTAATAGTAAGTCGAAGAACAACTGGCAGGACTACTGGAAAACGCTCTCCTACGAGAAGTGGGTGGACGAGTTTGGCGGTCAGAAGAAGATTCTCTCAAAGTATGCGGCCATTCCGCTGGAGGACGTGAAGGGCGCACGAGCTCCCAATCTGCAGACTGCCGGCAATCTGACCATTGCTGTAAGTGCTTTCAAAACTAAACTGTTTGCAACGTGCTTATTAATCGAATTTGTCCGCTAGGCCCTCGTCCATGAAAAGTTCGAGTACGACTGTTCGAGTCCCTCTCGAATGGGCATCAAAACGCCTTTCTTCCCCTACACCTTCGACTACGGCGGCCAGCGAGGCAACGATTGCCCAGTGCAGCCTTGTCTCACCGACGAACAGGTCTTCCCCGGCTTCTGGGAGGTGCCCATGAATGATCTCAACGTCGTCTACACTGTCAAAGGAGGTTGGTTTCGCTAATTTTCTTTCGAAGTACATTTTATCATCATCAAATCTAACTCCCAACCTTTTTCCAAAGTGAAAACTGAGCGAGAGTGCGCCACCGCCGCCGGCTGCCTCCTCTTCAACGACGACGGCACCGTCAACTACACGCCCACAGAGGATCAGATCTACAACCTCTTCATGGAAAACTTCAACCGCTTCTACAACGGCAACCGGGCGCCCTTCCCTCTCTACCTAAGTGAGGACTGGCTGACGCAGGAGGGCCACCGAAAGGGCCTCATCAAGTTCATCAAGGAGATGCAGACAAAGCACTCGGACGTCTACTTTGTCGCCCTCGAGGAGGTGATCAGTTGGATGAAGAGCGGCAGCACCGCCGCAGAGTACAAAACAACGCACNAGATCTACAACCTCTTCATGGAAAACTTCAACCGCTTCTACAACGGCAACCGGGCGCCCTTCCCTCTCTACCTAAGTGAGGACTGGCTGACGCAGGAGGGCCACC